TTACGGCTACATCTAGACAGCTCAACCATTAATTGATGAAATCTAGGCACCAGGTACCATAGCGAAAAACGATATTTAATTCAATTATTAAAAAGCTGAATAAAAATTGTTAAAGAAAAAAATTAAAAAATTTAAAAAAAAAGTAATCCTCTATTTTCCTCCATTAGAATTTACGTTCCGCGTTTTGACAAAAACTTTTCTGCATAATAAAAAAAGCTTTGTTTTATGTTATGCCTTTTAAAGAACATCACCCCCACCAAACCAAATGGCTATACGATGAAACGGGTGTTTCAGATGGGCATCTAATTAGAGAATAATGTTATATCGCCGACAAAAGAAATGCGTCTCGGGTCTTAAGTCATAGAAGATTGCATGCTGAAAAGATATTCAATTACGAACAGGATATGCGAAAAGAAATAAAAAATCTATGAAAAACAGACAAAAAATGACTTGTTTTATAAAGAAATCAAAAAGACGGACAGAAAATATAACAAAAGAAGCTTTTCTTCTGATGCCTTTTAAAAAGCAATTGAGCTTTGCAAATAATAATAATAATAATAATAATAATAATAATAATTTGACAGGTAGGGGCTCATTCCCTAACCCTCTTTGAGTGAGTGAAGTCTGGAGGTCTTGGTAAAGAGCATCTTTCTTTGAACATTGTGGACTGACGCCACAGAATTGAAAACTTAAAGAATTATGCGAAAAAAAAAAACCCAAAAAAACGCATCACTGAGGGACTTCCAACAACAGCAAGAACTAAAATGGATATCCATGTAAATTGAAGAGTAAATAGTAACATAAACAAAATATTCATATTAGACACCACTTCAGCTAAAAGGTTAGGAAAGAAATCCCCATAAGTACTGCAAAAGCCGATTCCTAGGATTAATGATGAAAAGGGCTTTCTTGGCGAAGACGGTACTTCTTTGAACATAGTGGACTGGCGCTACAGAATCACAAAGATCTCTATCAAATAACAGGTGTGGAATATCAATATCATGATTATGTCGTTCTTCTCTGTTAATGTTACATGTGCCATTCATTTTCGTCGTTGCTGCTGTTAAATGTCGTCAAGTGATGTGGTTTCTCTGATTATTTTTTTTGTTTATTTGTGATTCTGTAGCGGCAGACGACATGGTTCGAAGAAAGGTGCTTACGGCCACATCACGTTGAAAAAGAGGTTCCCGTAAAGCCTAGTCAGTAGTAGTTGGAAGACTGCTTTGGAACTAAAGATGCTGTAAGATTGGATGGGCTGTTGATGTAATGGATGATGGCTCGGAATTGTTAAACAGAGAACCGAGTTCAATTCCAGTCGGGTTTATTATATTTCATCCATCCATCCAGGTCGACCGTAGTCGGGGTTATCGAACCAATGCAAACTAGCCTTTCTTTAACTGTATAGTATATGCTACGTACAGTTTTGAATTCAGAGTTATTTCTCCTAGACCGGCTGCCAGTCAAGCGATAGAACCCAGTCTTTCCTGCTATTTTTCCATACATGTTGGAGAGACAAAGAGGATTCATGTATTTACCGTGGATATTCGTACGTAAGTCAATATAATGGAATTCAACCTCGGCTCAGCAATTTCTTCATCCGAGCCGTTATCCATTACTCCATCTGTCAATCACATTGTCGATCTCGGAGATCCTACTGAAACATATATATATATTGATGCATGTTTCATTAAATAATATAGGCAAGTGTTGTCTATTTTATGAAAATTCTTTTCATATCGTTAAACGAAGAAAGAAAATCACATTTATATGAATTTAAGAATATTTGTGAAGATTTCATAGTTCATTTTGTTTAGTTTAAGTTTCAACTGTTTTATGTATATAGCTTCAATAATTTTTAGTTTTTGTTTATTGTTTTCATGTTTAAGTAGAGTTGTGTTTCCAACAAAGATTTTCCCGAATTGTGTATGCGGCCAGTCATGTTGTTTTAAATGCCTAAAATGTTTTTTTTTTATCCTTCAAATGTAATGTCAAACGTCGTGCCTATAATTGGTAAGAGAAGCCATTGGTTTATTCCAACCACTCCCCATACTTAATACTTCTCGTTTACACTCTCGCGTGGTAAAGTGTGACGTCATGAGCTGCGGTACGATTTTCTCTTCCAGCGTCTTATATGCATGAGTTTGTCGTTATTTGGAAATCTTCCATGTCAACAGAAACAGACTATCATCATTGTTTTTTTCCGTGTATTGCTTAATATATTGTAATGTAATTGTCATCTTTGATAATGGCTTATGTAAACCGAACGCTTAGATAGGATTTAAAAAAATATGTATCAATACTGTGATTTTCTTTCTACGTTTAATGATAAAGTTATTAACCTTATCAGAAGTTATGACGTTATGAAAATAATTTACATAAAATAAATAGACAACACTAGTCTATATTATTTAATGAAACATGCATCAATGAAAAAATGCTGCCTAAATACACACACACACACACACACACACACACACATATATATATATATATATATATATATATATATATATATGAATATCAGAAAAAAATAATACAACTTAAGATTTTCCTGGTCTGCATATACTAAGAAATATTTATAAATATGGATACTCAAATATAGAATAATTATGTATACATATATACGCATGTAGATGATAACACAGGCACATATAAAAGCACAGACATATATACACATATACACAATGATACATACATATCAGAACACTAATTTGGACATCTATCTCTGTTTCTCTTTCTCTCTCTATGATTCTCTCACTATCTCTTTCTCATATATATATATATATATATATATATATATATATATATATATATATATATATATATATATATCAGACATGTAAGTAGCTCCGAATTAACTCGTCCTAAACAACATTCGCAATCTTGTCATTATCCTTTCGTATATGCGTGCCTGTATTTGAGTGTTTATCTATCTATATATATATATATATTTATATATATCTATATATACATATATATATATACTATCTATATTTCTCATGTTGTCTGTCTGTGTGTCTGTCGTGGGCGTTGTTACCTCGCCCAGGCCGCATTTCTCACCCGATTTCGATGCGGTTTTCAACACAAGTTTGGCTGCGGTAAGGACATGACGGGGCCCGATTTTGGAGTTCGGAATCAGGTTCCAAAAAAATCGATAATCGAAAAAATTATGCTTACAGAAGGAATGATCGCATTTCAACCAAATTTGACACCCTCTTAGAGTCTACCATTAGAATTGTTGTCCAGAAGTTTCATGACCACGGACCCCTAAACAGCGCGGAAAATCGATAAAACCCAAAAACCGATACGCCCAGATTGCGTCTGAACCGCATGTTGGTTTTTAGCGAAAACCGAGCGGATTTATGAAGAGGCCATTGGGAGTCATCATGTGAAGTTTCAACTCTGAGCACCCCGCCAAAGATAGTGCAAATCGACAATCGGTCAGCCCTTAAAAATGTTTTTTTCCGGTTTTTTAAAGCTGATCGTATTGTGTTTATTTTGTTTAGTTATTTTTTCGTAACAGATTTAATGTTTACTATAGAGCTTAGAAAAAGTTGGCAGTGTGATATAGGCAAGAAGTAAGGCATGTAACAACATCAGCACGGCAAAGGGCACTCCTCTAAAGGCAAGGAAGGGCAAAAATAGTTTAAGTCAAGTGATAGCGATTGGTGTATTAGTCGTACTATTTTTTAATCAAGCATGGGCAACGCCGGGTGATGCTGTTAGTATATGTATATTAATGTGTTTAGATATTTTCTTGTGTTTATTTGTGTATTGTGTATTGTGTGTTTGTACATATATATGTGTGTTTTTATATGTATGTACTTATGCACATATGTACGACAACGGAATATAATTTCAAATAACATAAATATATGTGTGTATCGGAGCGAGAGAAAAGAAAAGAAAGTGAATATATATATATATATATATATATATATATATATATATATATAAAATATATATAAATGTAAATTATGGACGAATGGGGTCGAAAGATAAGAAATTCGTTTTTTTTTCAATTTTTAGAAAAATTAAATGCCATACTGTCAATAAAATTACGCATAATGAGTATCGCCATTACGTAAAACGGAAAGACGCTAGTAAAAATTAAGAATTACCAAATATTTTTTGCACACACAGACACATATAGATGAAGAATGATAGTTTTAAATTATATTTATAGGATAAAGTGTGCAAAATCAGAGATAGAGCGTATGGAAAAATCGAAAACTGAAATTAAGAAATAAAATAAATAAAAAAAAAAAGCAAAAACAAGTAAATTAATTCAAATGAATAAAATAATCCAAATCGAAATAAATAGAATAGACAAACCACAATGCAACATAAATATATATATATATATATATATATATATATATATATACATACATACATACATATATATATATATATATATATATATATATATATATATATATAAGAAAAATATATACGGAAAAACAAACAAAAATCTTATATACAATTTATACTGTTTTTTAATGTTAATATGTCAACGTCGGACGTTTCGGTCTAATAAACCATCTTCAGGACATATTCATAAATTATAACATTATCAATACAGCATGACAAAGACGATGTACATGAGAACAAGACTTATCCAAACAAATAACTGAAATTTTTGTCCGACGTTGACATATTAACATTAAACAGTATAAATTGTATATAAGGATTTTTGTTTGTTTTTTCCGTATATATTTTTCTTCATACTGTCGGATGTATATCCATATATTTGCTTATATATATATATATTATATATATATATATATATATATATATATATATATATATATATATATACATGCATAAGCAGAAAATAATGTTAAAATAAAACATGTTGATATGAAGTATGTTTTAGCCAGCCAAACGAATCGGTTAACTCGAAATACCATTTAAATCCTCAGTTTTAATCCAGCCATGTACACAAAAGACAGGGGCTCTATGAAACCATTCGACTAACTCGGCTTCCAGACAGGGGCTTATGAAGGAAAAGAGGTGTATGAAAAGACGATTATATAATGAGATAGATGATAGATAGATAGATAGATAGATAGATAGATAGATAGATTATTCATATCTATCCATATATTTATTTCTATGAAAATATCTCTATATAAATATGTGTGTGTGCTGCGTGAGTGTGTGCTTCAGTGTGTGTATAGACGGATATGAACAATCTGACTGTTATATAAGAGGTGCTGAAAAATCCTCAGCCTGATATTCTAGCTAAAATCTAAAGAAATGAACAGTTGTTTGTCCTGTAAGTTTTCGCCATCCTCCACTTACATATATGTACGATAGAGTACAGGGATTTTATAAATATATGAAATCAGTTTAGATACATTCATAGACAAATAAATAAATTCTGAAGGAAAGTTATAGAGGAGATTCGGAAAAATTCACGGACACATCATTCTTTCCAGTTATCCAGCCAAATGGAACAACAACAGATTGATTTGGGGAAAGATCCCTAGTCGCGATAAATTTTATCGCCTTTCACTTAGGTATATGTAATAACTATAATGTGTAGTTCGACGTAGAAAAAATAGATAGATAGATAGATGTGAATAGTCATACATAGATATAGGTGAACAGACATAGATAAAAGGTAAGGAAGATAGAAAAATGTGGACATAGATAGATTGGTAGATAGATAGATCGATGTGAATAAACATCAATTGACATACCTATACCGCTCGGCCACAAAGGATCGTTCAGTGGGCAAGGTTGAATTCAGGCCGGTAAATGTTATTTAATACTGTTTATTATAAACAGAGCATTTACTTAAATACTTGTATCTATAAAAACAACGTTAAACATAAAAATGTCTTTAATAAATAAATTGTCGGACTTTGTTCATTTCTTAATATATATATATATATATATATATATATATATATATATATATATATATATATATATATATATATATATATATATATATATACACATACATATATATATATATATATATGCATACATACATACATATATACATACATGTGAATATAGATAATATGAACAGAAATATATAAATAGATATGAATGGACATTTATAGACATGAACAGACTTAGATAGATAGATAGATAGATAGATAGATAGATAGATAGATAGATAGATAATGAGAGGAATATATGTGCTGAATCAGCTAGCTAGCTTGCTAAATAGTCATACATAGATATATCTATACATATGAACAGACATAGATAAAAGGTAGAGAATATAGACAAATGTGAACATAGATAGATAGATAGATAGATAGATAGATAGATAGATAGATGTGAATAGACATAAGTATACATAACTATAGATATGTATAGACATAGGTATATAGAGATTGATATATATGAAAAGACATTTATATATATATATATATATATATACATACATATGAATATAGATAATATGAACAGAAATATATAGACACCTATATATATATATATATATATATATATATATATATATATATGAATATAGATATTATGAACAGAATTATATAAATAGATATGAACAGACATTGATAGACATGAACAGACTTAGATAGATAGATAGATTGATAGATAATGAGAGGAATATATGTGCTGAATCAGCTAGCTAGATCTCGGAAGTATTTGCATTCATAGATAGATAGATAGATAGATAGATAGATAGATAGATAGATAGATAGATGTGAATAGACATAAGTCGACATACCAATAGATATGTAAAAACATAGATAGATATATAGAGATTTATATACATGAAGAGACACTTATATATATATATATATATATATATATATATATATATATATATATATATACATACATACATATGCATACATATGAATATAGATAATTTAAACAGAAATATATAGACAAAGATATACACCCACATAGATATATATGAACTGAAATATTTAAATAGATATGAACAGACATTGATAGACATGTACAGACTTAGATAGATAGATAGATAGATAGATAGATAGATAGATAGATAGATAGATAATGAGAGGAATATTTGTGCTGAAACAGCTAGCTAGCTGTCTAAATCTCTGAAGTATTTGCATTCACCCATCTCTACCTGAATGTATGTAAGGACAGTCAGTGTTCTAAAGAGCCATGTTCAACAGTCTGTATCATAACAGCATTCAGTGGGAGTGTTTTTTTGTGAATGTAGAAACCATCAGGTCATATAATGCACAATCCAGGCTGCTTGGAATATGATGTTCGAGACGGATAAGGCAAAACACACATGAACAATGTTAAACAACTTCCTTTACATGAAAGAGCAACAGACAACAACGGTGAGAACGTATGGCGTGGGAGAGATCCACTTAGATAGCCGGCTTTCGTGGTTCAATCTTTTGTGTGAAAGTTTCTCTTCACCAGACTGTGGCAAATGTCTTTGTATGTGGTAGTCTGATTACTCACGCAAAAGATATTCCTATTTGATTTACACTAAAAAGTTATGCCTTTTTTTTTTCTATTTTATGAATATTTCTTTTTAAATTGCTACAGGCAGTAATGTAAGTTCGAGTTTTGTTCAAAACTATTCCGTCCAATAAATATATAAGTTAGTGCATTATATCATTGTTTAAATCACCCAGTTTTTTATGGAACTTACGTGTTTAATGTCTGTGTCGATTAATGTTGAAATACCTTTTTCCCTCACACTTCTCATTTAAGGAACTCTATTCTGGCTTCTTGCTTTCCTACCAGATACAATCTTTAAGAATATAACTACAACTGTTCTTTTATTGCCCTTTCTTCTTAACGACTTTTTCGCAATGCATTTCACATTACATTCTAGTGTCATTTATTTCCCTGCTGTTAGAGAAACCATTAAGAAAAAAAGCAAAAGAAGAAATCTCGTACTCCAAAGAACTAAACAATCGGCACAAAGGTGAAATATCTAGTAAGCAGAGAAATAAGTACAATCCATCCCTATAATTGATAAAAGGTGTCTAAGTACGAAGACACACATTTGAAGAAGACCGGAGAGTTTAACAAGCGAAACATGTTGAGCATAACAATAAAAACATGCGTAACGTTATCGCTGGACAAAGTATTGAAAACTGGAACGCAATCAGTTATAGGTAACATTATAGTTTAAGTGTTACCTTTCGTGTCCAGCTTCAATTCTTCAGGCCCCCAACGCTGCACCAACGGCAGACAATTTTCTTTTTTACTCGTTTTATCTTATTAGGCGCAGTCGTAGCCTCGTTTCTAAAAGGAAGTGAAAAGGAAAGAAAGGTGATCATTTGGCCAAAAGCTGATCGTCACATGTCACCTGGAAATCTAGATAGAGCGAGGTCGCTTTATTGTTCTAATTTTCACAACAGTCTCAGTGTCTTTGCGCCTTTTAAATCTTAGATCAAAACAAAAAATCCAATACATCACCGTAAGAATTTAACAACTAAGTTGTCCAAACCGTTCCGACAACGTGCAACGACTAAATTGTGAACTCCATAAAAGTTTCCATGATTGCATAGTATGTGCTTAGAACATCGATAGATAGATAGATAGATAGATAGATAGATAGATTTTAACAGAACTTGTTCCGCAGTAAATTGCGAATTCTATAAACATGTCCATAGATAGATAGATAGATAGATAGATAGAATTCGATTTTTAACAAACATGTCCAGTTTTGGGAATTCGAGAAACATGTCCTTTTTTGTAGAGTATGTGCTTCACCGGGGCAACATACGATTTTAAATTCAGATTTGTTCTCCTTCTTGACTGGTTGCCAAACGCGGCTAGACAGCCAAGTATGCAATTCTATTTAACACATATATTATAATATACTGCATATGCATTAATGGCAATAAAATTAAGTTGATGAAGGAAATGCCGATTTTGAAACGGGTACACTATGCGTATACAAGTGGGTTATCATATCGTCTCATGCCATCTGAGTTCAAACCAAACTGAAGCGGGCAGACACAGATTTGTAGAAGATTAACGCGAGATGGGCGTTTTTTAAATAAATATTTCAAAGATTTCACCCATGGTAGCGGTATGTTTCGCCTATAGAAGTTTCCTTGATGGAAAAAAAGTGATGCAATTTCATTTCCTCTCCTGAGGCCCAAATGGTTGTAAGGAGTTCAGACAGCTTGTTATGAAACTTTCTGTTTAAGGAAATAAAATCTATTACAACTCAAAACCTTGTTTCCACTAAAATTAACCTTTATAATAATAATATAAATACAGTATGATCAATTCACTCGAGACCATCAATGCAACAACCCGCGCTGCAGTAAATTGTGAAATTCTTAATCTTTTCCATAGTCCTATAGTATAAAGACTGCATACGGTTTTTTAATTCTATTTAACTGGTTGCCAGTAACGGCTAGTATGTAGGCCTATTTAACACAAATAATAGACTTCATATAAATAGATTGAAATTAAATTGGATGTCATGGAGGAAAGTACGGATTTAGAAATGAAAAAATCATGCATAGACCATTCGGCATAATATGATATCTTCTGAGGTGATTGGCTAATTCCTCCAGCAAACACCTCCTCAGCCACATGTATGTTTCTTCCACGTTCATAGAGTCGACCTTTTTCTCGCACTGCAACGTGGTAAAATGGTTAGCCATCAGTCTCGTAAGATCAAGTATGACTGAATAGTAAGTTCGGTCCTCACTGGGTGACCCATACTTTTGGTCTTGTACCATATCTAAGATCACCATATATTCTGAAATTGTACTGAGCGCGTATTTTGTCGTCATCTGCCGCTGAATAAGACTAATACAGCCGAACACTCGGTCACAATGTCTTTTCACTTGTCTCTAGCGTAACCGATTCAACTACCTTTTTTCCCTCACAATGACACTTGCACTTTCAAGGTTTGCCCGGCGATGATGTAACATTACTAGTTTGGCTTTGAATGTATCGTATTTTACAAGTCAGTCATCCGTCTACTGAGGCACTTCCTAAATGCATAAACATCATTTTGTCGTTTAATAGCATATCCAATTCTCTCTCAAATGATCTTATCAGTCATGTGCCATGCGTGATTCACACCTAGGCGATCATGTAACTTTCGATACATGATTGACGTGTCAGATTTCTTCACGCAGTAGGTAGACCAGTTACCATCCTAGTCTGTCCTGCTATTTACCCATAGTTGATTCATACCTTTCCCAAAGGTATTTAGCACCTAAGTGAATCTGATGGGTTCAACTGAAATACGAACTCGGCTCCCCGACTCTTGAATCCGAGCCGCTATCCATTGCTCCACCGTACCTCGGCCAAATTTTAACAAAATGTGTAAAACTAAGTTCACTGTGCCAAGTTATCGCAATGAGAAAGATGAATGTGATAATGACAAAGTGCTGTGGAAATCACCACTACGTTCACCACACTTGATACCTTGTGATTTTTCTATGGAGCTATGTGAAACGACATGTCTATATACCCACTCTTCCAACAGGCCTAGAGGAACATGCAGAGATTTACGCTTTGCAGAATGTTACGCAATACATGCTACAGCGTGTTTGGCAGGAGTTGGACTATCGACTTGACGTGTGTCGTGTCAAAAGTCATTCTTATACTGAACATTTGTGATGCTTATTGAAATCGGTTATAAAATTTACACCCCCTTGAATGCCTTGTTAAAATTTTGTTATATAAATATTTTATTGTTCAACTTGATGCCTCTTTAATTTCGTTTTCCTGGGACATGTAGTTACTGACCTATTCGCATTTTAAATGGTATAAATTTTGGCGGGGTACCCTGTATAAGTGGAAAAAATATGGCGAATTAATCCTAATACTCTTCCGTCGTTTTTTCGACGAATCAGGTTCAATCAACTCAGATCCTAGAAATCGACAGGTCCAGGCACTTGCACATGATATTTGATTATAGTGGTAAAGGCTTTGTGCAGAACAAATCACACATTTTGAAGTGCCGAATACAAAGATCTAATTCACAACATGGCACGTCCCCAAACGACCCTCCCAGCGTTTTGAGTTTTCCTTCTCCTAGTTGTCATCTATATAGAACGCAGTCTATTTACCCATAGCTGGGGGAAGAAGAGTATTCATAGCTTTCCCAAAGATATGAATGTAATGACTGGAATTCGAACTCGGTTCTCCGATTCCTCAATCCGAGCCGTTATCCATTACTCCTATTAATCCTAATGTTATATCTTTAGTACTTGAAGTCTTGGTTACAATAAGAACATGTAGTGAAAAATGTGTAGAAGAAAATAGCCAGATTTTACAAGAGGCGGAACTAGTCACTTATACATGAGAGGATTATTGTATCTGAAGAATATCAGAATCTAATTAAATATAAGTATTTGTTATGAAGGTGAAAGTGTTTCACCAATGTTTGGCATAAAATATTCCAAATTTACAATTATATAAATTTTCAAAACATGTAAGGGATAAGTAGATCACAGAGAAAATAACTTTTTTTTACAATACTAAAATAAAAGTTTCGAGTACCATTTAAAAACAAAAAGAGGCTTATTGTTAAAATAATAATTCTGGCCAGGATTCGTGATATGAAAAAAAGAGGAAGGAAAAGAAACTGATAAATTTTACCTGCATTAGTTTTGTGCTCTTCCTCAAATTTCGCCACTAGTGTTGGGATAGTTCCAAATGTACCAGTTATTATAGGTAACCGTTATGGAAGCTAAAGTTCTACTGCTTCTCTGCTTACAGTACTAGATTATCATATCTTTAAAACTTTTTTTTTTTCAATTTCTTTTATGTTGGCACGTTGAACCGCGTTTACACGAAAGGCTACTCTTTGGGTGTATCAATTTTCCGAGTAAGCAGCTAGCAGATTTAGTCTATTATCTTTGATGAGATGATCATAATAGATTCCAAAACCTCAGGTTACATTAGCACTCATTTCGAGAATTTATACTTTAATTATAAGGTGGGAATACATGTGGATTTTTAAATTCCTCGAGCATCACGGTTATTAACCCGTCGTACCCATGTTTTTTCCCGCTTTTTTCCAACATTTTTACTGTAATCTCTATCTATAAAAGGCGGGATGTGTGTCTGTGTGTAACGAATGCACGGCCGCAATTTTCGACGGATTTGCACGGATATTTACATGCACATGCTCCAAGTTAGCGGTAAGGCCAAGACCGACTTTGCATTTCCCACCTCCCATAGATAGAGGAAATAATCGATATTATCATGCTTCTACGGCAGTTTTCATGTAGTTTGCAGCCATTTTCTACTGGCCAGAGTGAGAGCCTATAGCTGGCTGCCACGAATAGGCAGGAAGATTCTATTGGCCAGCGTGAGAGCCAACAGCTCACTGACACTAATGTTAACTAGCATGCTAGCATGCAAACAAAAAATATCGATAGCTGCATTCGTCACAAGTGGGGAAAATTTAAATCTGCATGGCACTTTACTCCAATTGGCTTATTCGCTTGCTTAAACTCAACGTTGATTCTGATTCCGCAGAACTGGGTTGGGTGTGAAAAAGTATTTGTTGTTAACATTCTTTTTTCATTCGGTTTTTCCAGTGACGAGTCCTTTTTTAAAGCTGATCGTTTTGTGTTCATTTTGTTTAGTTCTTTTTTCGTAACAGATTTAATGTTTAGTATAGAACTTAGAAAAAATTCACATTCAACTACTAATGGCAATACAGAATCTGTTGTGGCTTTACAGGCCCACATAGGTGTGACAGCTTCGACGGCAACAAATGCATGTGAAGACACTCTCCCCCAGTGTTGTCTTGTTTTTTTCCTTTCCTTCATACACGCTTCACTGCTATTAGTATAACTTAGATGCTAAAATGATTTCTTTACTCTAAAATATATAATTTTAAAAAAGTCTCTAATCCGATGTGTTCCTTTTAAAATAACGTGTGTATCTATCTCAAGTGTGTGTTTGTATATATGTCTATGCGTTAGTACGTTTATATATTTCTCTCTCCCTATGAATTTTCAGTTTAATTGATTGAATGTTTATCATCAGTACTGCTGACTGATATCATATTTCCTCAACACTACCCCAGTCATATTTCTGACCCCAAACCCTCTGTGTGACAAGTTATGTGACAAGTTATGTGACAAGTTATGGCTTCCAGTTTCTTTGATTTTTGCCGACTTCAGTTAGGCTAAATCTAATTCGCCATTTTTCAATTGATACAATGTGATAAAAACCATATACTGGACGGAAAAACAATAAATTAAAATGAATTGAGCTATTTGAAAAACAGAACATATAAATCATTACTGATTTTGAAAAGATTATTTATAAAATTGAAGCAAGAAATACATACCATTAAGTATGTCTCAAGCTCAGATAGGGCTCAGATATATGTAGTCCGACAAGCGACATTAAGGTCATTTAATTTGGAGTTATAACAATTTTGGATCCTGATGAAGTCAAGAATGAACAGATTTTTGTTGGTTTGAATACTTGAATGTTGGCGAAATCGGGCTAAACCCGACCTTCGGGGTCTCCACTGATATATATATATATATATATATAGGATTGGTGTATAAGGAATAAATTTCAATAACCAACAAATACTATTCATAAAACAGTACTCAATACAGAGTAGTGCAAATATAATTATTTATTCGAAAAAAAATACATAAATATGTCATAAAATCACTACAAAAATAGTCATTTTGTTTCAGCACTTCTGGTG